CCCCCCCACCCATGGTAGACAAAGTTATGCCCTTACTCTTGAGAACTGATTTTAGTACGATAGTAATTTTCCTAACAGCTGGGTGTAACATAATATTTTTCCCCTGCAATTGTTTCGAATCTTATAAAACATTTTAATTTCTATGTTAAGAAAACAACAGTATTACCAGCTTAAGACTGCGTCAAACAAAATGAATTCCGCTTCCTAAGTTTCATTTACTCATGACGTGGCAAGAGATGTTTTCACATCATGTTTTTGGCTTGGTACCTTTGTTATTTTCGGTTTTGTTTGCATACTGAACATCATAATAAGTCTGCAGAATGTATCAGGGTTGTAAAATGTCATAACTGGTTATTATGTGTATTTTGTGCCACATCATAGTGATTCTCAACAAGGTGTACTCTAACAGGACATCTATGGCACTGTGGGATATCCTCCTCTCCATATTTTACACCCTGGTTTTCATCATCGCTGTGCCTGGAAATGCTCTGGCGCTGTGGACCTTCTTTCACCAGAAAGGCATCTCTTCCTCTAAGGTCTTCCTGAGAAATCTATCAATCGCAGACATCTGTTACGTCCTTATTCTACCCATGCGTATAGTTTACCACCTGTCTGACAGCTACTGGCCTTTTGGGAGCATCCTCTGTAAACTGACATGTTTTCTCTTCTACCTGAACATGTACTGCAGCCTCTTCCTGATGAGTTTCATCAGCCTGGACAGATTACTGGCTGTAGTTTTCCCTTTAAGATCCCAGACTATTAGGAAGCATTTGTATGCAAATATAGCTGTTGTCATACTTTGGGTGGTAGTTACTGTTTCTATGAGCCCATCACTTTTCTCAAAAAAGAACCACGACAACTCAACTGTCACGTGCAGCATGTTGTATCTCAAAAATACGTCTTCCAAAGCTTTGCTCTCCACTGTTGTGGCGTTTCTCATCCCCTTCATCACCATAATTATTTCTTATGCAATGATTCTGTTGAAACTGAGAAAGCTCAAGCAGCAGGAAGAACGGCCGATGAAAGCCAAAGCTGTCAAAATGATCATCCTTATTTTGGTGAACTTCCTCTTTGCATTTGTGCCCTATCATGTGTGCAGGATCATGTACACTCAAAGTCACAGCTCTGAACAAACTGCAACAAACTCATTGGTAAGAGCCAATCAGATCACATCTGCACTGACCTGCATTAGCGGCGTTTTGGATCCTGTGATGTATTTTTTCTTGAATCAAGCTTACAGGAAGACATTTCTTCAGCTGTTTTGTAAAAATAGAAACCATGGTTTGTAAGAAACCTTTTTAAGGAAAGTATTGTCTTTTTAAAAAGTTAGAAAAATATTTTAGTCATCAGCTACTGTAACACGTTGCTCTTAGTTTCTCCTCATGGCTTATGTTGATTTCACAAAAAGACTATGTTTTATTACAACAGTTTTTTTAACCATAATCTTCCTGAGGAACTGAAAGTTCCGTTTTACTTTTGTAGAATATTTGACTACAGCTGATGTGAAACAAACTTTCACTGTCAAATACAAGTTTTTCCCCAATTTGAACAGGCGACATTATGAGGAGAATCTTTTCATTTTACAACATGTATCAAAACTTTTTTTTTTATTATATACAAAAATTGCATCATTTTTAAACAAATATTTACTAACTGTAAAAATATACATTTAGCTTAACAAAAATGTAATGCCAATATGTAATATGTTGTCTTCTTGCTTACTGAGGAGTGCTCAGAACTGCTATGTCCTGCAATATTTGTAAAAAATAAAATAAAATAAAACGGGTATTTGTACCACAATGAAATTATGTTCTGCATTTTGACCATCTTTATTTTTCATGAGTCAGCCCTGCAGGACAGCACCTTTCTCAGCACCAGTATTGTTGAGGAAGCAAGGTAAGTATTTTATGTTGACTTGACAGATGCGGCTCAAAGACATTAACGTTTCCATCTTTGCTACAAAGCTGCACCAAACAGAAATCAAAAACTTTCAAGTTTCAGATGTTTCTCATATTAACAACAAAAATAATAAAAAAGAATGCATTCAAAGCATTTAGTACATATTCACTAAAACCAAGAACTGATTGCCAGACAGGTAATTTATACTTTGCAAGTAAAATGTGGTAGACTAACGCAAACAGTTCCCTCAATAAACTAGAATTTGGAAAACACAAAGTGATGTTCATTATTTATTAAAGGTTGTCAATGTAAATTAGTGATGGAAAAAAATACTCTCTGCACACTGCACACTTTTTGATGTACAAAATAACTCCTTAACACCCTGAAGGAAAGGAGAAAACCTAAAAGCAAATAGGTTTTCACACATCTGTATCATTCAATCTAAACTCTCTTAAGCAGGCATGAAACAGGATGTTGTGCTTTAGACTTTCTGATAAACTATTTTCTCTCTGCATGCAAGGGCGTAAATTTAGGGGGGGGGGGGGGCTTAAAAACCCTGCATTTTTAGCATTTATTCCTAAACATACATATATGACATCGTAAATTTTTTAATAAAGTCGAAGTTACCTAAAGACAACGAGAGAGTTTCAGCTGTCTACTTAACCAGTTAATTTCTAATGTGTTTGAGCAAATGATGTCATTTTATTGGGGGGTTATATTGACTTAATGAAATTATTGTTGGGGTCATAACCCCCCTGCAAATTATGCCTATGTCTGCATGCAAATCATATAAACGTCTAATATTCTTCCAAATATGTGATTTATTACATAAAAATATGATAAGTTACAGCCTATATACAAGTTAAACTAAGTTTTTAGTTTATGACTTTTATAGATAATTCAGTTAGAACATTTTGTGAATTTATTGGCCCAAATTATTCAGTTTTTTAGTACAAAGAAAGCACATTTAGATTTTTTTCATGACATTGAACAGACAAAAAATAAAATAAAATTTCAAATTTATTAAATAGATATATTTAACAACTTATTTACTAACATTTAATATTTAAATAAGCTGTCTAACACGTTGATTCCTAATATAGGCCTAACTAATGTAAGTAAATAAAATAAAGGAAATGAAACCATGATTTAAACATAATCACAGCTATTTAAAAAAATGAATGTGTAAACCACAATGTGCAATTTCAAGTCACATTCACACTGAATGAAACAGCATTAGTTCTACTAGAAGGGGAGTTTCTGGAATTATCTAGTTTTAATAATTAACCAAATCAAATTGTAAACTTATTTAAATCATTTAATAAGTGAAACAATTGACAAATTCTAAATTTCTTCTACCGTGGTTCGGCCCCATTGTGAGTTTTACTTTGCTTATAAACAAAATTTGGATTTAATAAATTATTCAGAAGAATATATTTTAGACATTTTAAAATCAAAATGTAAATTTGAGAACATTTGTGCGAGCCAAACACGCACATCGACTTTTTTTTAGTTTGAGCTTTTCGGGCTTCCGTACTTTGAGCTTGTTACCAAGGCAGCCAGGAAGAAGCTTGTTTGTTAGCTTTAGCTCCAGCTGAAGTTTCGATAGTTTATCGAAGCAAAAATATTCACACACGTTACCGTGTCAAACATTTAGTCTTTGCACGAAAATTTATCGAACAGCAACGTCGTTGTCTATTTTTTTCTAGGTTTCTATTAGCTGTCACTTTTTGGGTTAGCTTTGTGGGTGCTAATGTAGCATTTCTGGCTCGCATTTAGCTCTTCCAACATAAATAAAACGTGTCCGTCTCCGTCGTGTTTGTTGCCGCACCGCAGCAGCTATTATGAACAACAGAAAAGGTTAAACTTTTCTACCTCTCGGACCTTTCGTCATGGGCACTGCGTCTTCTTTGGTCAGTCCGGGAGGAGAAGTGATTGAAGACGGATATGGTGGTGACGGAGGAGAAGCTTGTGAAATACCGGTTGAAGTGAAGCCCAAAGCCCGACTCCTGCGGAGCTCGTTCCGCCGAGGACCTCGCGTGATCGGGGCCAGTTTCAAATCCACGGGATCCGTGGATCTAGAATATGCCGCCGAGTACGAGAGACTCCGTAAAGAGTACGAAATCTTCCGTGTCAGCAAGAATAATGAGGTCGCATCTATGCAAAGGAAGGAAGCCAAACTGGATGAGGAGAACAAGAGGCTGAGGGCTGAGTTACAGGTAAATACATGGTCTGATTAACCAGCGTTGTTTAAAGTACCACAAAGTGATACTTGAGTAAAGATACAAGTATCTTACGAAAAAATTACTTTGGTCAAAGTTAAAGTCTCCTTTATATCACTTGAGTAAAAGTCACAAAGTATCTGATATTTTTTTGTACTTAAGTATTAAAAGTAAAAGTACTGATTTAAAATGAGCAGTTAGATTTACGTAGTGACTTTTATTAGGAGGTGACCTCCCTCCAAAAAAAGCAGAAATGACTATATTGTATTAAAATAGTTACTTTATGTTAAATATAGGATGCAGCTGTTGTATACATATATCAAGAGTGCCCAAACCTTTTCTCCAAAATGAAAATCTATCCAAGGGTTGTGGGCCAAATGCAATAATATAATTCATGAAATACAAATTAGTAGGTCCTGATGCATCTCAGTAATCCAGGTAAAAAAATCAAAAAGAAAAAAAATTGTATAGGTCCTCTGGACGGGTTCTTCTTTAATGAAACTTTTCGTCTCTCCTCCAAGAGACTTCTTCAGTCTGAGAGTTTCAGGCAAAATTCAGGATTTTAAGCCCAGCCTCCATGTGACTGATACTCACATCACATGGCTATCGTTGACACATAATTAACACCTATTGTTAACAGGGGGTGGAGTGATACTGGCAATGGCCGCACTGTAGGAGGAGGTTTTTTTTTTACAAATTAGTAGGCCTGTCACAATAAACAATAAATCAATTAATCGTATGATAAATTAAAATGAGGAAGATAAATTAAAATGAAGACAATAATTTCCATTTGCCTGCCTTTTTTTTTCTTTATGTCTCCTTTTCTAGCATAGAAAGAAGTGAACTCTGGTGTCAGGTATTTGCCAGGTGCATGGTCTCTAACCTCTGCAGCATGAAAGCCTGTGAACAGGCATTTAGCCAGAGCAGCGTCTTCAGTTTTCTGACACCACATACAGCTGGTGATGCCTTGCGATTGCAGACAATTGTTTTGTTCTTCATACACTATGTAAATTTTAATGTAAACTTCTGTAAACAGGGGTTGTTATATCATTATATTAGTTTAAACTGGTCTCCAACGATATTGTTTATCGCAATAATTTCTGAGACAATTTGTCGTGCAGTAAAATTTGTTATTGTGACAGGCCTACTTCTTAGGTACAGTCCTTTTATTGTAATGATTATGTCCTGCTGGAGTGTGACATGATTTGTTTGTGTACAAACTAATACGGTTTCAGAATTTTATATATTTATACTTCTCATTCAACCACAATTAAATTCACTCTATCTAGGAGGCACAATTTCTTTGGATAGAATTTATTTTTACAATAACAAGCTGGAATGAAAACAAGCAAAAATGAAATAAAAGTAACGACTTTCTACTTCTTACCTTTTTAAAAATGTAAGAAGTAAAAAGTACAGATAATTGTGTGAAAATGTAAGAAGTAGAAGTAAAAAGTAGGCTGTACAGATACCCAAAAATTATACTTAAGTACAGTAGCAAAGTATTTGTACTTAGTTACTTTACACCTCTGGGTAAATATGAGTGCTTCCCTCAAAACACTCATTAACTTTTAGGTGATCAACAAATCTGATTGTTTTAAACAGGCTCTACAGAAGACCTATCAGAAGATCCTCAGAGAAAAAGAAGCTGCTCTTGAGGCCAAGTACCAAGCTATGGAGAGGGCGGTCACTGTTGAACATGACAGGGACAAAGTAAAACGACAGTTTAAGGTAAATGCTTGTCTGTATGGTCAATATACAATTTTAAAAAAGGAAACTTAACCCCATAGTAATAACATGTTCGCTCAGATTTTTCGGGAGACAAAAGAGAAAGAGATCCAGGACCTCCTTCGGGCTAAGAGGGATTTAGAGGCCAAACTGCAACAGCTGCAGTCTCAGGGAATCTATGTCTATAGTCCGAATGGTTCTGACTCAGATGATAACCAAACCACAGTGACTGGTAAGACACGTGTACCTTCACACCGAAACTCTTTGTTCACCCATCAATATGTTTGATTTAACCTGTTCCATGTAGCGCTTCTTTGTCTGTCTGTTTTGTTTTCCCACAGCTGGAGGAACGCAGTGTGAATACTGGACTGGTGGGGTGTTGGGAAGTGAACCATCTATGGGTAGCATGATGCAGCTGCAGCAGACTTTCAGGGGACCAGAGTTTGCACACAGTTTAATTGATGTGGAAGGACCATTTGCAAATGTGAGCAGAGGTGAGAATGTGTTTTGTAAAAATAGAAGAGGAAAATAAGAGCCGTTATGGGGGTTTGGACGCAGTTTAAAATTAGTCAGCAGTAGTCATTGCTGCAAACACCAACTTGTGTCTCAACCACTGACCTTTGAACATTCCACACCCTCTGCAAATGTGAGCAGAGATAAGAACGTTTTTTGCCAAAACAGTTTGAAGAGAAAAAAACAATCCCCCTTGTGCGGTTTGGGGTTTCCATGCAGTGAAAAAGTTGTCTGCAGTAGACATAGCTGCAAACCCTGACTTGTGACCAATGTCCCTTCACCACAACTCATCAAACATCCTTTTCACACATTTTCTGTCTCACTTTGACAAACAAATGCCACTGGAAACACACCTAAAACCATCGCTACTTTAACAGCATCACCAAACAAAAAGTTTGGCTTTTCTTAAAACTGTCTTTTACAATATCACTTTCTGTTTACATACAATCATTTTTTTGTTTGTGAGTGTGTTCTTCTCAAAGCATACAGATTCATTTATTCCTGCATATGTCCTGTTTTTTGTCAGATGACTGGGATGCTGCGGTCGCCAGTCTTCTTCAGGTATCACCTCATGTCCCCCAGGCCTTATGGAGTAACACTGTGCGCTGCTACCTCATCTCCACACAGGACACCAAAGCTGAGCTCGATATCTTTATCAAGGTTTGTTAGATAGCTACAGGAAGTCAGCGGATCTCCTCTTTATAGAAGTTTTAATAACAGTATCCACATGAACCAGGTTTCATTTTTAACAATTCAACGGTCTTAATAGATGACGTGCAGAAGAAAATAGTTTTTTTCGAAAGTTAGTTTTTTTAGAGGGCCACGGCTTGGAAAAGTTTGGGACCCCTGATCTAGCTTATCAGTTTCCACCAATAATTATTTTTTTGGCGAACGTCTGCTTTTGTTTTGATTTACAGAAACACTCTTCAGAGTTACGTCAGATGTGTGAGTGTTTGGGCCATTTCTACCTAAACGTTTACTTCCCAGAGGAGACGGCTGCTTCGTACATCACGGAGCGCAAACAGGAGATCGAAAAGAGCTCCGTGTGCGTGCTTCTCCTCAAGTCCACTGTTACCAGGTAGAGTTTGTTTCTGCATCTCCTCTTCTTCTCATGTAGTGTTGATTAATTACGTTAGGATAAAAACCCTTTCTGTTTGGATTTTCATTTAAAATGCATTTTTTGCAGCTCTGTGATCGAGGATTGTGAGGAGGCTTTTGTGAGGAATCTGGATGGCCACTCACTGGTGCTGTACCTTCGGACTGAAGGGGATGGCGGTTTGACTGAACCCATCAGGCAGCTGTTGGAGAAGGTCAACACAGCAGACAAGGCTGCCAAAGTTAAGGTGCGTCTTATTTTTTTAAAAAAATGCAAAACAGAATACAGGGGTGGGGGGATTTATCCCATCAAGACCAGCTGAAGTGCTGCTGCCGTCCTGTGTTCGTAGGTTGTGGTGTTTTACATCATTAACCCCAAAACAAGATTGGAGTTGTTTTTTCCTAATATATTATTTCTTATTTTTCTAATTAAATACTCTACAAAGTGGCTTTTAGAGTTTGTTGCAATCTTACACAATGCAGATCCATCGTAGCCACTACTAATTCTGAACAAAATGCAGATGGTCTGTGTTCATTGCATTTAAACGTGACACTCTGTGTTTTCCTGGTCACTAAATGTTTCGCTGTTGATTGTTCTGACGTTATTAAACCTTTATATTCAGGTGGTGGATCATAGTGGCTTAGCAGAAGACGGCGCTAACCTCATTTATACTCAGCTGAAGAAAGTCATTAAGCAGGTACAACATGTGTTTTTTTATTGGCTCAATACCAAATGGAAAGTTTATACAAAACTAATTATTTTTATACCATTGGCTCCTCACAACTTTTTTTGCTCATCATCCAGGAGTTGCTGGGTTTCGAAGGAGCAGATGCGGACTCTAAGGACGCTGTCGTAGACGAAGGACATGAGGAGGACTCTGGAGACGTGCTGTGGGACCTGCATGATGAACAGGAGCAGATTGAATCCTATCAGCAGGCCTGTAACAGCACTGCCTCCCAGTTAGGCTTCCAGAAGGCAGGACAGATGTTCTTTGTTCAAATTTTTTGATCCTCTCTTCAAACTGAGCACGTTTATATTGATGCGTCCTGTGCTTCCTATGTTGTTCTCAGTATATAGATCGTTTGAATGATATGATAGCTGCCCCACCTCCCACACCACCTCTGCTGGTTTCTGGTGGGCCAGGCTCGGGAAAGTCCCTCCTGCTTTCCAAGTGGTAAGACCTGGTTTTTAAGGACTAAAACGGACCAATGGTGAATTCCTTTTAATTAAAACCCTTAAATGCAAACACAAAAAACATTTTTGCATGCAGACTTTAATGAAGTCTTAAATCATTTTCTAAATTTACTAGATACGTTACAACATAGCAGAATAATTGTTGTCTGATTATGTTTTAGGGTTGAGCTGCAACAGAAACAATCCCCCAACTCCTTGTTCCTTTATCATTTTGTCGGCCGCCCACTTTCCACGAGCTCAGAGCCAGTTCTCATTATCAAACGCCTCACAGTCAAAGTAGGAAGTTCCTTTTATTGGCTTGTTTCTTTTGAAAAATTCAGATCTCACTTCATGTGTGAGATCATCATTGCCGTTTCTCTGTTTGTTTATTGTCCCTTAGCTGCTGCAGCATTTCTGGTCCCTTTCTGGTTTAACCATGGATCCCAGTAAAACCTTGGAGGAGTTTCCCCGCTGGCTTGAAAGACTGTCGGCACGGCATCAAGGAAACATCATCATCATCATCGACTCAATTGACCAAATACACGTAAATACCCGCTCCCCCCGGTTTAAACCAAACACTTACCTTGTTTATGTCAGCATTAGTTTAAACTCTTTATTTTGCACGCTGTTTTTGTCTCCTACATTTCAAAAACATTTCTCCTGTTTGGCTCTTTTTTTTTTCATTCTTTTTTTCTTTTTCTTTTTTCAGCAAGCAGAAAGGCACATGAAGTGGCTGATTGACCCCCTCCCTGTTAATGTCAGAGTTGTGGTTTCTGTCAATGTAGAGACATGTCCTCAAGCTTGGAGGTGATGCATTCTGCTTCAGCTAACTGTTAATTTACCTTACTATGCATCACACTGCTTTTACTAGTGTTTATTTATTTCTCATGCGGCGGTGAAGAAGTCTAAAAATGCACCTTTTATTTGCATTTGTAATTTATTATTATTATTATTATTATTTTAGATTGTGGCCCACACTCCACTTAGATCCACTCAGTCCTAGAGAAGTCAAGAGCGTAGTCACCGCAGAGTGTCAGAGCATGGGTCTTAAACTGACCAAAGACCAGGTCAGTTATTACCCCTTATTAAATAAAATGTATGTTAGAATATCCGACATCACAAAAGGTTGTTTTCTGTTATTATTTGAAACGGTTCAAAGTTTTCTCATTTTGTTTTAGGAAAAAAAACTGGAAAGGCACTGCCGCTCTGCATCGACCTGCAATGCATCATATGTCACACTGCTGGCAAGGATGATCGCAAGGTCAGCCATTTCTGGTGTTTATTTTTATTTTTACATTTATGTGCAAAAAAACAGCACTACATCTTTTATGTTTTTTTTTATTCAAGCTGTGGTTTGCCTATATGTTAAACATTGCTTGTTCTTTTAACATTGTTTTTATTATATTAGTGACAGATGTGACTTGTCTCTGGAGAAGAGCCTGGAGCAGTGTCTGCTGTGTCAGGACTCCATGTCTCTCTATCGCTTGGCGCTCAACATGACGCTACGTTCCCTCAGCACAGACACAGAGAGACGTGTGATGAAAGAGGTAACATTAGCACAGGATCACCCTTATTGGTCTTAAAGGGACCCCCGATTAGTTATCAACGCTCTCTGGTTTCATTTAAAAGAGTCGATCATCAGATATTGTCCAAGATTAACCTTCAGGGTGGATATAGCTCGCTAGCAGCCTCGCACCGAGGACCTGTCCACGTCATCATTTACCCAGAATGCTTTGCGTGTAAATAAAATGGCTCTGTCCATGTTAAACTATATTTAAAAAAATTTACAAAACTAAACAGCCTACAGTATTTTTACAGTCTTTATTTTACAGTTAAAATAAATGTTTACCAAATAAGGTCTAATGTTACAACTAATCAGGGATCCCTTTAAATACAAACACACCTGTAAATTGATTCATCCACTTAAAACTCTGACTTTCCGTTGAACTGAATACAAACAGCTGTTTTGTGCTCAGCAGATGGTAACGCACTTTGTCTCTCTTTAGATGCTGTGCCTTGTATTTGCCAGCCATAATGGAGTGAGTGAATCAGAAATATTGGATTTTTTCCCAGAGCTGGAGTTACCCGTGCTGTCGTTTCTGCTCCACCGCCTGAACAGACTCTGCATCACAACCCTCCGCTGTGGACTCGTCACTTTTCAGCATCTGCAGGTGCTCCTTGACCGAATTAACAGCCGATAAAACTAATCCAAGTGTTCACTTTTAAACAGTTTTTTTCTCATCTGTGCGTGTGACAGGCTTGTGAGGCTGTGAGACTGGAGTTCCTGAGTGGAGGAAGCAGCTCTGCGTCCTACAGAGAGAAACTTATTCATTACTTCAGCCAGCAGCTGAGGTTTTGTCCTCTCGTCCAACATATACAACATAAAGCAGGGGTTCTTAACCTTTTTGATCTCAGGGCCCAATTTGAGATCAAAAATTGGGCTTTATGTGGCCCAGTCAGACATTACCAATGTATGGATCAAAATGATAATTATTCTAATCTAAATCTTGGTTTAATTTTTATTGCATTTACATCACAACTAAACTATCATAACAAACATAACTAAATTACAGTTTAAAAGTAAAACTCCTGTCAAATAATCACAAGACATGATTATGACAAATATTTTTATATTGTAACCTGCCCATAACAATTATTTGAACAAATACAACAGTTACAGTAGTGAACAGACCACTCAGGCTTATCAGCAC